AAAAAAAAAAAAAAAAAAAAAAAAAAAAAAAAAAAGACCTGTATGTACATATAAATAAAGAGAAAATAAACTAACCGTAATGCAAATAAGGGATGTTTATATAATTTTATAAATAGAAATTTATAAGAAGTTGTATAGAAAAAAGAAAAGAAATATATAATAATAATAAATAGAAAAAAAAAAAAATTATACAAATACAAAAAGTAAAAATTTTTTGATTATATATTATATATATATATATATTATATATATAATATATATATATATATATATATATATATATATATATATATATATTTATATATACATGTATAAATTAACATTTTTAAAAAGAAAGTAATTTTTTTATATTCATATAAAATAACACATGTATTTAAATGAAATTATATATTCCAAATATTCATATTTCATATTTTTATTCTTTTGCTAAAAATTAGTATTTGTATATTTTTACATTTATATGTATGGTTATTTTTTGTATCCTTATTAATACAACATATATATTATGTCATATTTTATGAAATTGTACCATTATAAATATTCTGTTTTTCTTTTTTTTTTCTTAATTTTTTATTCATTTTAACTTGTTAAACTTTAATTTTTTTTTTTTTTTCTTATAATACTTTATAATTTTTGTTGTATTTTTAAATAAAATATAAACATTAATAAAAGAAATTTTTTTGAATTACTATTGTTCTAAATTGTTTTCTTACACATATTTCCTATATATTTAAATATAATTTTATTACACCTCAAGATTGGTAGATATATATATTTTTGTGTAAATATGCATATAATATTTTTAAAAATAACATATTTTAATACTTTTATAAATTTATAAATTTAACCAAAAAAAAAAAAAAAAAAAAAAAAAAATTTTTTTTTTTTTTTTTTTTTTTTTTTTTTTTTTTTTATATCTAAAATATATCTTTAAAGAATAAAATGCATAGATTCAAGTAAAACATAAAAAATGATATAATAAAAAATATGATTCAATATTATATATAAGTCTAAATATATTAGTAGCTGTTATATGAAAAATCTATAAATATTTCTTATTTTATCTTTTTTTTTTTTTTTTTAGAATATACAAAATTCAAATGTGTAAATACGCATTGATAAATAAATGTGATAGAGGAGAAAATTGTACATTTGCTCATGATATAAGTGAATTAAGAATTAAACCTGATATGAGAAAAACAAAATTATGTAAAAGTTATATATTAGGTAATTTCTTTTATATAATAATAACATAAATATTTTTATTATATTCTTTTACTTCTTCAAATATATATATATTTATATTCTTTTTGTTATATGTTCTTTATATGATTTATAGGAAAATGTATTGATAAAAATTGCATATATGCTCATTCTGTTAATGAATTAAGAGAAGTTGGGAAACCAGCTATTTGCCAATTACATAGAGAAGGTATAGATAATAATATAAACCTATTTTTTTAGTATTATTTAAATTTATTATCATTTTCATTGTTTATAATTGTGTCTATTTAATTTTTATGAAACTTATAACCATTAGCTTTTCTTTATCTTCATATTTAATTTTTGATTAAAAACAGGTCGTTGTATTAAAGGAAATCAATGTAGATTTGCTCACTCTATAAATGATATAAATACAAAATTAGTCCAATTTTATTGTAATGATGAAAATAGCAATGAAGAAGAAAGCAGTATATCAAATTTAAATAATTGTTTAAATTTAATAAACAATGAGAAATCATCAATGTTGGATAAAATGAAAAGTTATGTTGATATAAGAAATGAAAATGGAGAAATCATACAAACATTAAACAAAAAAAAAAATGAAATGTGGAATTTAAATAAAAATATTAATGATGATAGTTCTAATTCTTCTATTCTTTCAAACAATTTGTACAATGTTACTACAAATAATAAAAAAAATATGATAAAAAATCTGAATAGAACAAATTTAATTAGGCAAACATCCTGCAATAATTTTTTAAATGATAATCTAAATACTTTATACATAAAAGAAAAAAAAGAAGAAAATTATTTGAAAAATAGAACTTTAAAAAATACCAAATTGTGTGCAATAACTATCAACAAGGATCAATCTTACGATTATGATAGTATGTTACTAGATAAAAATGATAATAAAAATTACATACCAACTCAAAATATTAATAAATTAAATAATATTGAAAATCCTTTTAATGAAAATAATTCAAATGAATCTTTTAATCGAAATATATCCTCTTTAAATTTACAATCTTTATTATCTTTTAATTCTCCTCATCATATAGAAAATACCAATTCTAACGATAATTTAAATAATATTAATATTATAAATGATAATTTAAGTTATGAATTAATGAGAAAATTAGATAATGTGGAAACAAATTTAAAAAACCATATTGCAAAATCTAATAAAAATAATATTTGTTCTATCAATTTTTCAAATAGAGATAATGAATGTGTAATGAATAATATAGAAAACAATTTAAATAGTTACAACTCTTGTAGTAGAAATCAAAAAAGTATTAATAAATTTAATGAAATAATTGAAAATTCAAATAATTTAATTAATAAAAGCAATGAATATATCTTAAATCATTATATATCTAAGGATAAAAGTTTAAAGAATGATAACAATTTAAGTAGGAATAACATACTTTTATCAATAGAACATAATAATGATATACAAAATAAAAGTAAAAAAAATGAAAGTTCTCATTTAATTTATAATGATTATAATATGAACAAGAAAATTGATCATTTGGATAATGAACATAATTATGTAAATTCATTATATAAGATGAATAAAGATAAAATTATTTTAAATTATTACAATATCGATGAAACTTTAAAATATTTTGGAGAATATTTATTTAAAAATGATGGTGACAATAAAAACATAAGTTATTCTGAAAATAAAAATTCCAATTTTCTAAATGACACAAATAGCATAAGTATCATAAAAAAAATTATCAATGAAAATGAGAACGAAAATGAAAACTTAGATAATAAGAGTACTAATTCAAATAAAAATAAAAGAGAAAATAATAAAAGCATAAACTACTGTGAAAATATGGTTTTAAATGATAATAACTTTGATATGAAAACACTACTACCAAAACTAATAAATATTAGTGAATATTTAAATGAAAACATAAATATTAAAAAGTCTTTTAATGACAAAAATAAATTTACAGATGATGTAAATAATACTAGTATAGAAAATATTAATGTTCAAAATAAAAAAAAAGAAACTTGCGAAAATATAGTAAAACAAAATTTTAATGAAATTAGCTCTCTTAAAAATATGAATGATGAAAATATAATTAATATAATAGAAAATGATGAAGAAGTAGTTGTAAAGAAAAATATTTTACAAAATAAATTAAATGAAGAAAATAAAAATGAAGGAATAAATGATACCGATAAAGAACAAAAGGAGAATTCTGATGATCTAAAGAAAAATATAGAAGAAACAAATAAAGAAGAAGAAAAAGACAAACAAAAAGAAAAAATACTAGAAAAAAGAGGAGATAAACAAGAACAAGAAAAAAATGATATAGATATTGATATAGAAGAAAATATTAATAATTTAAATAATATGAATACCGAAAAAATTTTTAATTATACTAAATTTGAAGATGGTATACTTAATGATTCATCTAAATTAGAAAATAAAAAAAAAAATAATATTTTTAATTATAATATTTTAAAAAATAATATTTATAAAGAAAAATCAAAGAATTTTTTAAAATATAGTAACATGATTGGAATATCTTTAAAAAATTTTGAAGAAACTTATGTTGAAAAACTAAATGAATGTAAAAATTGTTCATTTAATAATAATAATAATAATAATATTAATAATGATAATAATATTAATAATATTAATAATAATAATAATATTAATAATAATAATAATGATATTAACAATAATAATAATATTAATAATAATAATATTAATAATGATAATAATAATATTAATAATAATAATAATATTAATAATTCAAATGAATTTTTTAAGTATATTGGCAATTTAAAAATGAATACAAATAATATAACTTCAAAAAAAAAAGATGATTTTATAAATAAAAATGAAAATAACATAAATATTAGTAGTGACAGATGTTCCAATACATATGATGATAACAATCAGATTAATAATTATAATTTTACAGATAATAATAAAAAAAATGTAAATAATAATGTAGAAGAACAAAAAAGGAATAATAGAAACATAAATAATAACATTAATGAATTATATACGAATGAAAATAATGACAATAATAGCAATTATATAAATTTATACAATAGAAAAAATAATATCAATTTTTCTACTACTAATAATATTACTAGTAATAACAGTAAGAATAATTTTCTTATGAGTAATAATGATAATGATTTAAAAGATGGAAGTTATATTGACATGAATAAAAAGTTTTTAAATTATGAACAAAAAGTTAATTTAAGTTATGATGAAAATGAAAAGAGAGAACATTATGATAATTTTAATGAAGGAGAAGAACAAATTAACCCTCAGAATTTAAGCAAAAAGTGTATGACACTTTCAAATATGAATAAAGAAAATTCATGTAATTTACTTTTTGAAGATAGTAGTAATAACTGTTATATTACAGATATATTGAACAAAAAAAAATTGGAAAATAAAAATTTTCTTGATATCAAAAGAAATAATAACGTTATTAATGTTAATGATGTTATAGAAGTTATAAAAAACTGCAAAAAAAATATAAATGATAATTTAACGAGGAAAATTTTCAATTTATCAACACAAGATATAAATACAAATAATAGTATTTTAATAAATCTATTACAAGAATCAATTAATAATAATAAGGAAAAATTAAATGTTTATAACAATGAAGATGAAATAGATACGAGAAATAGAATGTTAGATATTATAAAAAATAGAAGTAATATAAAAAATGATGATTTTAATAATAGCAATTCTATTAATAATAGTTGTAATACTAATACTACTACTAATACTACTAATAGTACTATTACTACTACTACTACTACTAATAATAATAATAATAATAATAATGACAATGATAAAAATAATAGAAATGAGAGCATTAGTGAAAATATTAAGAGTGGTAATAGTGATAATAGTTATAATAATAAAATGAACGAACAACAAATAAATGGTTTTCTTAATCCTAATAATGAAGAAAAGATACTCTCAAATAACATGAATTGCAAATTATATGAAGAAAAAAACAATTTAAAAGATTGCCAATTAATAAAAAATAGAGGAGATAATATTATAAGCAATTATAAATTTCCTAAATTAAATTCTTTAATAAAAAATAAATTAATTAATAATACAAATTATATTGATAAAAACATATTTAAAAAAAATTCATTTAATAATTTTGGTTATTTAAATGAAAACTTTAATTTAAATAGAGAAGCAAATATCCATTCATTAAATGAGGAGAATAACTATATACATTTTAAGGATAAAGTAAATTTAGAAGAAGATCAAAACAAAGAAAAAAAATCTTTTGTTGATGAAAATCAGTTAAATAGAGCAAAATTTAGAATTATAGATAATAATCATCCCACTTGTATAAAAGAAAATGAACCAAAAATATATGATTTTAATTTAAAAAATTTATCAATGGATTACATAGAAATGAATAATGAAAATAATTATCTAAATAGTTCTGGTACAAAAATCCTAAATACATTTAGAATTAATGCTGACACTAGTATATCTAATAATAACAACATTACTAATGAAAAAAATAATAATAATATTAATAACAATAATATGTTGAATAATGTACATAATTATACGGATAATACATTTAACAATAATAAATTATATGAAAAGAATTATGTAAATGATGATAATTTTGATAACATAGACACTATTATCAATATTGATGTAATTGATAATTTAGATCAAGTAAATACTTCAAGTAACAAAACAAGAATTTTTAATAACAATAATTCAAAATTAAATTTTTTAAAAAATGACTTATTTTTAAGTAGCAATAATAATTTTAATAAAAATACATTGAATTTTTTTGATTCAATGAAAAATGATTATAATTTTTTTGAAACTTCTACAAATAATGTATCATCATTTTTTAATTATGATATACCTAAAAGAGCTGAGAGTGATTTTAATAACTTAATGGATAATAATATGTCTTCTAATTATGCTTTTAATAATAATTCATGTTTTTATAATATTCATTTTGAAAATAAATCCTTTATTAATGATGAAAGTGACTGTATGAAATATTCTAATGATATTAATTTTAATTTTTTAAATAAAAATGAATAATTATATATATATATATATATAAAGAAAAATATCATGAAATTCTTTTCAATAATTTTTTTTATTTCAAATAATTATATAAATTTTCTTTTTTTTTTTTTTTTTTTTATCTATTTATGCATATGTTCAATTATATTAATATATATAAATAAATATATATATATATATATAATATATATTTTTCTTTTTCACATTTATATAACTTATTGTTTTTTTAATATTTGTATGATTAAATAAAAAATATGTTGATATTTTTCTTAAATGTTTTTCAAAATATTGTCTACATAAATATATATATACATGATTTTTTTTTTTTTTTTTTTTTAAATTTTTTTTTTTTGTTATTATAATTGTATATAAAAAACATGGCAAAATAATATTGAATAATTTAAATTAATTTTATGTAAAAATTTTTTTTCTATTTTCTACCTTAAATTTATGTAAAAAAAAAAATAGAAATTAAAATAGAAAATTAAAAGAATTTATTTTATATATATTGTGTAAATTTAAATAAAAATTTATTCACTATTTTTATCGTATGTTCTTATAAATATGTATTAATATATTTCCTCTTAATTCTAAAAAAAAATGCAAGTTCATTAGGAACATATATTTTCTATACCTTTTAATCATTTAAATTCCCATTAATTTATAAATATGAAATAAAAAAGAGTGCTACAAATATATATATTATTAAAATTTAAAAATATTTTATTTTTTGATTTTTATAAGATACTTATTAAATTAAAATTATAAATTCATCAAATAATTCAAATAGAAATATTCTAGAAGTATGAAAAAATAGAATACTGAAAATATATATATTTAATCATTTTTTAATAACCAAAATATATATAGAAATATGAAGAAAGAAGAATATGTAATTGTTTTTTTTTTTATTTAAGAAAATATTGTAATTTTTAAATATTTAGTAAATAACTTTCTTACAATTCTAGTGTTATTATTTGTAATTATTCTATTATTTTCTTGAGTTGCATAGAATTAACAACTAATTAGTTTTTTTTATAATTGCTATTTAAAGCATTATAATTTGCATTTTCAAAACATTCACAATAATTATTCCATTTTCTATATTCAATAATGTAGAATATGTTATCTAGTGATATATCTTGAATAAAACTATTTTGATTAGCAAATTGACTAATTTCTTTATTTTCTTGTATTTTCATTGCTATTTTTATATTTGTAAATGTTCTTTTGTTTTCATTTTTTATATCATCGTTATTATTTACTAATATAAATTCAGTATTTTTAACAATCGATTCTTCTGTTTTGGAGTTTTTTATATGTATTTTTATCAATTCTAAGTAATATTTATCAATATTTGTAAATGAAAATACTAATAAATAAAATAAAATATTTTTTTTATCACAATATACAGCTGATAAAATGTTACATTTTAATCCATCATAATTTACAAAATTATTACTATTATTTAAATAAAATCTTCTAATTTCATTACATTTTATATTTTCTATTGTAAAATTTACATTTGTGCAAAATTCTAGATTATTTGTATTCGCTAATTTAATTAATTTTAAATTAGAATCTTCTTTAATTTTATCTTTTTCTGTTAATTTCTTTTTCACTATATCTATTTCCTCTTTTTTTATATATAATGATTTATTTTCAGAATGTTTATTTGTATCACTTTTTATGGTTAATTTTTTTTTTAAGAAATCTAGATAATATTTCATTATGTTCCATATATAAAAAATATATATATATAACAGTAAAAAAATTATGAAAATATTTTATTAAAATTTTTTCTTTTTTGAAATATTTTTTCAAAATGTTGTAAAATCTATATTATATAAAAAAAATTTTGGTTAAAAGTTAATTATTTTACAATAATTTATTAATTATATTTTTTATTTACATGAAGAATATAAAAATATTTTTACATTTTTATAACTTATTAATTTTTAAGTATGAACAAATGTAATTAATTTATAGGATAATTATTATAGATTGAAAAATTTTATATAATAAAATACTTTAGGAATACTTATTAGGAGTGTAAATACATTTAAAAAAAAAAAAAATAAGATAAAATAAAAAATAAATGTATTTTAATATTTAAAACTAACTCTTAAATAAGAAAAAATATTCTTTTCAATTTTTGTATATTTTATTTTCATATATTTAAAGATAAAGGTTTGAAAAAAAATTTAACGACATCACATATATGTTTTAAGATATTTTTCATATAACTATAGAAAAATGTGAAGAAATTCATTTTAATTCAAAACATAAGAGTTAATTCAAATTAATTTTTTTTCTTTTAAAAAGTAAAATACGATAATAATTATTTTTTTTTTTTTTTATTATTCTTCATTTTGTTTTAGATATAAATAAAAAAGCAAATGTATGTATTCAAGTAGGTTTTGCATACGAATTTTTTTCTTTTGTATTTTTTATTTTATGTTGTAAAAAGGAAAATATATATAAAGAAAAAAAAAATAAAATAAAAAAGAATTATAACTACAAAGCTAATGCAAGAAGGTGCAAAGAATATATATATATATTTATATAAAATAAATAAAAGGAACATAAAAAAACAAATAATCCTAATTTTTTTTGGTTAAAATTATTAAGTTCATAAAATATATAGAAAATTTTAACTATTAGGTTATATTTTATTTGGCTCCTATGTATGTTTTATATTTACTATTTTTTTTTTTTTTTTTTTTAAATTTTTGCAAAGGTCCCACTGGTTCAATGAAAGTTAAGATTTCATTTTTTGTCATCTAATTTTCTCTTTTGTTCTATTATTGTCTAATATGTTTTCCTTTTCCTTTTCTTGCTCCCGTTCTTTTTCTTTTTCCTTTTTTATTTTTATTTTCTTCTTTATTTTTTCTTTTATCTTCTTTCTTTTTTCTTTTATCTTCTTTCTTTTTTCTTCTATCTTTTTCTTTTTTCTTTTTTTTCCTTTGTTTATTCTTTTTCCTTTTTTTTTTTTTTTTTTAAAGTCTCAAGTAAATCAAATTTGACAGAAAAAAAAAAGAAAATATATTATAATACTCTATTATATCCAATTATTAAAAAAAATATATTTAAAATTAAAAAGCTAATTTTCATTTATCAATTTAATTACACAATATTTTATCACAATATTCCTTTTTTTTTATAGATTTAGTTCTAATTATTACATTTTCAATAGTTTTATTAAAAAATAAAATTAACGTTGAAAGATTTTTTTTTTTTTTTTTTTTATATCATTTAAATATTTTAAAATATTTTATTTTTAAAATTAAGTTATTCCACGTTAATAAAAATAATTGAAAGAATTATTTGATGGAATATTTGTTTTAACATTTTTTTTTTTTTTTTTTTTTTTTTTTTCCATTTAATTGTACCACAAAATTTGTCTATTTTTTTTTTTCTTTTTTTTTTTTTTTATATGTATTATGTAATATTCATTTTTTTATGTTTTTTAGTTTGTTTTTAAAATTGTTTCTAGAATATATATAAAAATACAAAAGTGAAAATACTATATAAATTCTTAATTTTACCTAATTGTTAATTTGTTTGTTTATTTTTTTTTGTTTATTATTTTTGTTAATTTTTTTTTTTATTATTAATTGATATAAAAATTCTTTACACTTTTATATTTTTGAAGTCTGTAATTTTTTCATACATAGAATTGAATAAAAAGATATAATCTGAAATTGACAGAAATTTTGTTGATATATCTATTTGCATATTTTAATAAAAAGATGAACAATCTAGACAGAATAAAATATAGATTAGAAGAATCATTAGAAAAACACAAAAAGAGATTATTAAAAACAAGAGAAAAGAAAGATTCATCAACTATCATTCGAACACTTAAAGAAAAGAATAAAGGAAAGAGTAGTTTAATTACTGCAAAAATTATTAATTCAAATAAAATATTAAATAATAAAAAGAGTAATATAACAAAAAAATCAATAGAAAATTTAAAAAATTCCAAATTGTCATTGATAAATAAATATTCTAAAAAAGATCAATACTCTTATAAATCTTGTGAAGTGATAAAAAAAGATATTAAATTAGTTTCTTCAAAAGATGAAAATTATAAAAATAAAAACATTCCAAATGAAGGTTACGAAAAATATAATAATAATAATAATCAAAGATTTAAAAAAAAAGATAATCTCATCAAAGAAGGAAGTATGATAGATAAGATTAATAATTCTGAAAATAAAAAAAATGTAGAAAATTATATCAGAAAATTGAAATATGATGATAATATTATTGATATAAAAATGTCAGATAATAATAATGATTTTCAAAATGTTTCAAAAGAGGTTAGTGATAATTTAAATGATTTATTTCGTAATTTTGTTAATTGTAAAATTAATAATCTTTATGTTATAAGTGGTGAGAGAACTAATACGAAAAATGATTTCAATACCAATGAGAAGGAATTGAGAGATATTGGAAATGAGGATATTAATAACTGTGATTATGGAGATAATGAAGAAAAGAAAAAAGCTATGTATGATGGAATTAAAGAAATAAAGTATAGTGAAAATGAAAATAGTTTTAACAAAAATGACTTAAAAAAAATCAGATCTCATTCTAATGATAAAGGAACATATGAAAATAATTTAAAAAAATTGTTAGAGATAGAAAAGAATATGAAAAATAAGATAAAACTTTTTGAAGAGCAAAAAAGTAAATCAATAAATGAAGATGGAACTTTATGTTGTATTCCTTCATCAAACAGTAAGGAAATTCAAAAAGTTTCTACAGAAAGTAATGATCAATTCACATATATCAGTTCATTCAGAAATTCTATGCTTATTAATTTATCATCATCTTTTCCATTGATTAATTCAAATGAAGAGAAAAAATCTACTTCAGATAGTGTAGAATTATTTACTACCCACAAAAATATTTATGTTCGTAATTATTATAAAAAAAAAAGAAATAAAAAAGGAAATATAGATAAAAATGTATTAATAGAAAATTATAAGAATTATTATTCTAACAGTGATGAATATTTTGGTAATATTGATGAACATACGAACTCTTTTAAGGAATTTTTAATTAATAAATATATTAATATAGAAAAAAAAGGGAAAAAAAAAAAAAAAAAAAAAAAAAAAAAAAAAAATTT